TTTTTTTTTCTTTCGGCCTTTATTGTCATTACACTGTCACAAGTACAGAGCAATGAAATGAACTCTCTGCATTTAACCCATCCCCTTGGGGAGCAGTGGGCTGCCATTGTGCGGCGCCCAGGGTGCAGCTCAAATCAGAACCTCTGGATTCCAACACAACACCCTAACCACTAGGCTGCCAACTCCCCCAGACAAAACCCTGTATAGTAAAATACTCTATTTGTTTAATTTTCCTATTTTATTATCATACACTTTTCTAAGGTCCACATTGTGTGATCATTTCTACTATAACATTTTGCTGCTGTAAACACCACAATTTCCCATTTCAGGACAATAAAAGGATTTTCTGTTCTATTCTGTTCTATTTTATTCTATTGAACTGAAAAACAAGCCGCAGTAGGAAGTTGGTAAAAAATTTTACAATAAACACTAAACTAAATGCTTTCTGGGTCACCGGCTTTATAACAAATAAAAAGGGCAAACAATAAAGCTTGGTGAGCCCAGCTAGCCGCTCTTTTTTAAAATNCTTGGAATCTCTGTTGTTGCTGCAGATACAGAGTATTTATATTGTAAAACTTGTTGTTTTTTTTTTTCTTTCGGCCTTTATTGTCATTACACTGTCACAAGTACAGAGCAATGAAATGAACTCTCTGCATTTAACCCATCCCCTTGGGGAGCAGTGGGCTGCCATTGTGCGGCGCCCAGGGTGCAGCTCAAATCAGAACCTCTGGATTCCAACACAACACCCTAACCACTAGGCTGCCAACTCCCCCAGACAAAACCCTGTATAGTAAAATACTCTATTTGTTTAATTTTCCTATTTTATTATCATACACTTTTCTAAGGTCCACATTGTGTGATCATTTCTACTATAACATTTTGCTGCTGTAAACACCACAATTTCCCATTTCAGGACAATAAAAGGATTTTCTGTTCTATTCTGTTCTATTTTATTCTATTGAACTGAAAAACAAGCCGCAGTAGGAAGTTGGTAAAAAATTTTACAATAAACACTAAACTAAATGCTTTCTGGGTCACCGGCTTTATAACAAATAAAAAGGGCAAACAATAAAGCTTGGTGAGCCCAGCTAGCCGCTCTTTTTTAAAATGTTAACGCTTGATCCAATTCTTCAGAGCCTTAAAGGGCAGATTAGACTTCTGCAACCGCAAACATCAAATGTCACTTTGGTCTGGTCGTGAACCAGTTTTGCTGGTATGCTTCTGCACCGTCGGTCTGGAATTTCTAGAGACACAGAGCAGTTTCCCGCCAAAGTGCAAGGGGCAGCCTATTCGAGAACTTGCGAGAACTTAGGCGGATGGTCACGAGTTGTACTTCCGAACCTCCTCGATTAACCTTTCGACGTAGTTGTCCATTGTAGTTCCTCGATTTTAAAAAATGGTGCTCCCCGGCATCAAATCAAGACAACCATACAGACAGCCGGAAAGGCATACCAAGGACCAATCACAGCTGCTTTTTCTCTGCGCAGTTCCGCTTGAGGTCTGTGCGGGTTTGTGACTGCCGACGCGTAGTCAGGACTTTTTTGAGGTGCGCGACAACGGTTGCAGAACAGAGTCAGATTTGACGGTTGCAGAGGGTATGCGTCAGAAGCATAAATTGGCCTTAAAGGACAGCAAGACAGTAAAGCTCCAGCCATCTACATCTGCTTTAATCTCTGTGTCGTCCTTTTATCGCCTGGTTTGGGTGGAAACATGAGTGATTGGAGACTGCACATCACTCTGAACACGCTGTCCCTGCAGGGACACGGTTTGGTGGCAGTGTCATGGTGTGGTGAGGTGCTAAGTCTAACCATCCAAACTAGCAAATATAAAATTGCTCCTTTACAAATATCAATTATATCTCTGAATGAAAGAAAGCCTGGAAGTTTGAATCAAACATTCTTAATAGAATTTCTAATCTGAACTCTGCAGTGAGGCAGTTTGATTTTCTTCTGCTCTCCTCTGAAAGCGTTAATTAAAAGGAGAACACAGCCTGGTCTGGGATGTTGGCTTGTTGTTCAACTCCGGATATCTGATTCCGAAGGAGCAAACAAGAAAGCATTCATGCATACTTCTTAAAATACTGCTCTGAGAATGGACGTAGGGATGCAATACTCTGGTACAGACACCCTAGAGAATGTGAGGTCACAGCACATGGCATCCTAACACCGTCTGCATGTTCAGGATGCTGGGAGCACGAGCTAAAAGCATCCGTGGTTAATGCTTGTCGGGTCGATGTCAGGGTCAAACCTTGGAGGCATGCATGTCTGCAAATGCGCTGATACACTTTACAACAAATACAGAAGATAAATGACTTGTAACCAAAAGGTGAGAGCAAGGTTTGCATTTCATAAAGTGAGGATTTCTTTACCTCTGACCTGCAGGAATAAAAACCTCCCGGTGTTGTGAGAGCCAAGAACAGCTTCTTTTGACTAATGACTGGTTCAATAGCCAGTATCCCCTCTGCAGCCCATAAACAGCATTCTCTCTCCAGAAAACATGTGTCCTGGCACAGTCTGCACACACAGCTGCCCCCTGAAACACTGATTTTCCCATCATCCATTTGCTGCACAAATGCATTACTTTACATTTCCTCAGAATGCAGTAAGGGAAGTGGGTAGAGTGCCTCGGCCCTAGCGCTTTAAAGCCGGTAACACCCTCAGAAAAGATCAAATCCAGTCAGGCTGTCTGTGGTCAAACAGCAGACAACAACAAATGTCCTGCAGAGATGTCAGCTGAACTGATAATTACACAGATACATGTCTGAGGTGTAGGAAGGGCTCCAGGTAGGATTATTCAAACTGTCCTGGAATCACCATGCTTTTACACATTCCATATCTCTGTGTTGTTAGGGTGATTTACTGACTGAAATATTTGAAAAAACTAACTTCAAAACATTGTAACCACAGCTGATAGAGTTCTAAAGGAGTCATGGCCCAAAAATCTGACTTTTTAATGATAAAATATGTGTGCTGGTGTTGGGCTTCAGTTAAATCCGGTCCTCCCCAAGGATTAACGTCTATACTGGAAGCCTGACTTGCCATCACCACTACTGAGTCTATTCCAACAAAAGCAGTGAAAAACAGTCTCTATTCACTCATAGCAATCATAGTCACTCATGCTGCCCCATGCAGACGCTCTGTCTGCACTAATGAAGTTTCACTTACCTCAGCATTCCTAAAGACGGCCGTACACTGTGCCATTTTTTCGATCGTTGCACGCAGCTACAGCTCACACTGTATGACGCAACCGCAGGGTTTCGTCATACAGTGTGAGTTCACTGCTCACAATGTTTGTTCTCACACTGTGTGACCCGATGCTCTGATGCGATCTACCTGCTCACACTGTACGTCTAAAACCAGGTGGGACTCAGCTCCGCAGTGAAATGGCGCTACTCGGGACTTGTATATACGGAAGCCAAACGAGTAGAAGAGGAATATGAAGCTCACTGGAGTGAAACGCGTTGCCTTGGCAATTTGAGCAATTTTGTGCTGAAAGCCCTAAAAAGAAAAGATAACGACGTATTTGGACAAAGACATGGCTGAGCAAACATGGCTACTACGGTCTGTCAGTTTTACAGAAAGAACTCCATTTCACTTGCATCACTCAAAGAGGAATCCTCGTTTACGCGATTTGCCCACGATTCCTGATCAGGAGGTGGTCGTGAGAGGCTGATCGGCCCTCGTTACCCCTGTACATTACACGACTCACTGAAAGTTGGATGAAAGTCAGCGCGATCGGAAAATTCTTGCACGACTGGATAGTCACCCCGAAAAGGGCAAAAAATATTGCATCGTGTATGCCCGGTTTAATGTTCCCAGTGGCTCCAACTGACGGCAACTCTACATACATTTTGATTAATCCAACTAATATTTATTTGACCATTTGGGGGTTCCCATAGAGTATTGAATTTTTCACGCTTAGAGACCAAAAAACCTTTTAGATGCTGAACCTAAAAGCTGTGCGACACCAGGCCAGCTCAGAGACATCGTC